ATTATTTCACCAAATACTCATAATTCCAGCTACTGCTGCCCAGAGCAATCAACACTCTCAGAAACATGTACAGTCCAATCAGTCACTTTTTGCTAATGATGGAATCAGTCCATTGAAAAACTCTAGGAGTGGCCCATGGTTCAGTAGAATCTAATTTTATGGATTAACATCATTGTCACAGGCATAGCAATACATGTCTAATTTTTGGAGGACAACCATCATTTTAACCATATAAGCTATCAATAGGGATTATCTCATCTCTCTAACGGACAATAGTAGGATCTTCCAATAGATCCACAAAAGATCTCCATGAGCAAAAACCAGTACAAATCTAAAGTAATTCAGCTCCATATTCAAATCGATCACTAGTCCTATTTTCTGCTATTACAGATCTGTTTAGCCTTTTCATGAACCATCTATAAATTCACACAAACAGACGCAAATACTCATTCCTCTATCTTATCAGAAATGTACATATCCATTCTCAACTTACTCTTTTAGCTCCTGTTTTGTCTTGCGTACCGGTGTTAACCACGTACCTATAGGGGCATGGAGATGTCAGCCAGAATAATATTCTAAACTAAAATATACAGAATAAACAGATCTCTGGATAAAAGAAGACCACTTACGTGTGTGTTGTTCCAAGTAGAGTCCCTGGTGCAATCCTCTCTTCTCTTTCCTCGAGTACCTTTAGGGAAAAAGGAGCAGTGAAGTTGGTAAAATGTCGAATATTATAATTATACATCAGTACTTCTGTAACAAAACAGCAGAAGGAAGCCAGGTTTCAGAAGATAGAACTCACTTGATAAAGAGGCCTTTCAGGCTCCTTTCTTTGCTGCTTGCGAAGATCAATAACATCAGGTGTCTCAATGCCAGTAGGAGTACTGAATAAATAACAAACATGTCAGCAGAAACGGTACCAAGCCTAAATAAAGTTGCAGACTGGAGGATGCCAAGACATAAATGCTTAAGAACCAAAAAAGATACCAAACCTAAACAAAGTTGACTATACAGCTATAATGAAAAAAAAAAGATACCTTGAGAGACTATCTACAGATTGAATGCCATCCTCTAACTCCTCCTCCTCAATCTGCTCCTCTACTTCTTCTTCTTCCTCCTCCTCCTCCTCCTCTTCCTCCAGATCACCCCAGTGCCTGGTCTTATCAATGGGCTCCTCCTAAATAATAGGATAGAAAACAAGTGGTCTCCAATTAGATTAAACCCAAGGTTTAATTGTATCAACTACCCTCCAGTCAACATTTTGAGCTAAGTAAAACTATCCATTTTCTAAACCTGCAGAAAAGGAATATGGCATTCGGGAAAATACACCAATTGTGCAGATGCAAGTACCATCAAAACAACTTCTTGCTAATGTGGCTTGTTTCTTTTCGCCAAGTGTGAACAATACAGTTAAAAGAATCAGCCTCTCCCCTGCATTAATCCTTTATCCACATGTATACAGAAGTTAGTCCTCTCTCTTCCTTTTTTTTTTAAATATAGTCATTTCTCTTCATTCCGTTTTAAAATTCTCAATTCTTCAAAAGCTATGAAGAGGGCAAATGGTGCCAGGAGCAAAGCCACTTATTACTGTGTAAACCACCTTGTGTTTTTATCATCACACGAAACATCTTGCTCATATTATTTCTACCTTTTCCTATGTATTTACACAGTGAAATATCATCTTCCTCCATCTTTCTCTTCTTTTGAGGGGATGGTGGAACAAACTTTATTGCTTTTGATGCAACAAGGGGTTAATGCCCATAAACACATTAAACA